GGATCTCTTCTTTGCCTCATCAATTGCTTTGTTCTTAAGCTCACTCTTACTCTAATCAACTCAATTGTTTGAGATTTAGTTTATCATTGTTCTGGTTTCTTGTTCAAGTTATATATCTATTCCTATATATGTTACTTCCTTTTTCTCTTTGTTTTGATGTGCTTTTTTTTCTTTTCTTTTGGACTTCTCAATCACCACCATGCACTTGAAAATGAAAAACAAGCACGAATATCATAAGAGAAAAGATTTTTATGAAGTTTTTGAAACGACATTTTGAACTTAAGCTAATGAAACTAAAATAACTCACCAAAAAAATCATCCTGTTTTTTTCTCAACTTTGTGTGTTTTGTTATTTGTGTTGATTGTTTGAGTTTTGTCTTTGTCTTTGATTGTTCTTTTTGAAGTCGTCTTGTCTTTGGTTTTTCTTAAATATCTGAACTTACTTATTTTTGAATTTGTTCACTTTACATATACCAAGTTGAGAAATTTTACAGTCATCTTTGTCCGAATCACAAGCAAGATGGGAAGTATTCTGCCGCATTTGATCTGTTCAATCGACATGATTCTCTCCACCACTCTCTCGTCAGATAATTGGTGTGGTAAGCTAGGCTATACATAGCAATAGAAGATACGCACCCAATCCGTCATGAACTTGATGACAAGATTCCCATGTATTGTTTCATTTCTCTTTCCTACATGGAACCTTGTATAGATAATATGGGAACCACAATCAAAAGAAAGTTGAGCAATTCCTAGGTTCACCTTTCATTAAGCAAACGAGGACAACCCCCCATCTCACAGTTCCGCTCTTGGTCCAGGAAGCCTCCTGTTTTGAACACAATTCATCTTTTTGATAAGATTTTCATGGCAAGATTTCTATGTAAGTACTTCTTGAATTACCCACAGATCAGTTTATCTATCTTGAATTTTGTCTCCTGGAAATAGTTTCTTCCTGTAGAGAGTTGATGTTGTACATAAATACTTACTTACATGCTCTCAACGGGCTTTGATGTCACCGTCCTGTCCAGTTGTCACTTGGCCATTTCGGTGCAAGCATGGCTATGATAAACCAGTCTACCTTTTCTTTTTCCGCGTCTTACCATGGGCACTTGAAATTGATATCATCCCAAAGCAAGCCTATGTATCAAGTATACGGATCTTTGGGGAAATGATCATGGACTTGATACTTGCTATAACGTATGGTACAGTCAACTCCCTCTAATTACA